ATGCAAGGAACTGTTCTAGGCTCTGATAAAAAAAATCATGATTTTTTGATAAAAAAAATTCATGACCCCACTATGCTTACATTTCAGTAAGAGAAAACAGATAACACATTAAACAAGAAAATTACTTAGGTTTTTGTTAGACTGATAAATCAATGGAGAAAAATAAATCAGGAAAGGGAAATTGTGACAGATGTGCAATTGTAAATAGTTTGAATGGGAAGCCTTATTAAGAAAGGGATATTTGAGCAGAGACTTGAAGGAAGTGAGCAACCCCTATAGTTTTTGAAGGAAGAGTTGATACAAAGGAAAAAAAGGAATGCATTGGCTCAGCACTGGAAGCGTGTCAAAGTGGCCCAAGTGGCAGGAACTTAGTGAAAAGGTAAAAAAGGTATGTAGATAGGGGAGTTGAGAAAGGGAAGAAGTAACAAATTGTATAGTATTCTGTAGGCTATCACAAAGATTGAGTGACATGGAAGGCTACTGGAGGATTTTATAAAGTAGGAGTTATTATATGAATTTATTAAGTTTAGTAGGATGTTTCTGGTTGCTGCTTTGAGAATAGACAGTGAGGGAGAAGGTAGTAGTAATGACACCATTTAGGAAATTGTAGCAGTAATGTATATGAAAGAGAATGGCATCTTGAATCAGAGTGGTAGCAGTACATATAGTGGTAAGTGACCCATGGAGATATATTTTGAAAGCATGATTGATGATAAGAGTGGATGTGAAAGAAAGAGAAGTTTCTGTCTTGAGCAACTGGAAGGATGGAGTTACCATTAAATGAATGAAGAGAACATGGTGGAACAGGTTTGGGGTAGGGGGAATTTAGGACATGTTAAATTTGAAATAATAATAAACATTTAAATAGGAGATGAGGAGTGAGCAGATGAATTAATCAAGTTCAGGGAAGAATGTAGATTGAGAATATAAATGTGAGAATCATCAGCATTAAGATTTAAAAGTCAGGGGCTGGGTTGTGACTCAATGGTAGAGCACTTGCTTAGCACATGTAAGGTACTGGGTTTGATCCTCAGCACCACATAAAATAAATAAAGATTGTGTCCATCTATAACTAAAATATAAAGATTTAAAAGTCAGGACACTGAATAATAGCCCCAGAGTGAATATGTAAATAGAGAAGAGATGAGATCCAAGAGTTGAGATCTGGGTAACTCCAATGTTATTAAAGATATAAAGAATAACCAACAGAAAAGACTAAGGAGAAAACCTAGAAGAATGTGCTGTTTTAGAAGCTAAGTGAAAGAAACTATGTCAAAAGAAGGGAATGATCTGATTTAAATGAGAATTGGACTTTTGAACACTGTTATTTGATTTAACAACATGGTAATTTAGTGACCTTAATGAAGAGTTTCTATAAAGTAATGGAGAAAAATCATTGTAGCATGCATCATATAAGACTGGGAGAGGAAGAATTAGAGATAGCAGGTATAGAGCAGTATAAGGGACCACTTGTATTTTTTTAAATGTTTCATTTTCATGCATTTGCACATACCTTTCCTTCTCCCTGCAATTTCTGTCCTAATCTGGATGCCTGACAAGTTTTTAAAGTTTTGTTCATTCAACAAATATTTATTGTGTTCATAGCATTCACTAGGCACTGTTCTCTTTCAGCTGGGAACCATATCTGAATAAAATATACAAAAATGCATGATCTCTTGGAACTTAGATTCTAGTTGGGGAAGACAGACAATACTTTCTATAGTATGTTAAATAGTTATTTAAATGCTATGAAAAAATAGACAAGTGTAAGAGTGATCAGTCAGTCATGCTAGGGAAAGGAGCTAGTTTTAAGCGGCCTCACTAAGAAGGTGACATTTAAACGAAGACTTGCAGAAACAGTGTATATCTGGAAGAAGAACTTTTTAAATAGAGGATATTTATTCTAAATAAAAAATAAACAATACAAAGGACCTGAGACTGAAGAGTGCCTAGGAGATGTCAGAAATATTTGGATCTTGCTGACCAATGTGACCTGACAGGAATGAGCTACAGGGAGAGAAACAAGAGTTGAGATATAGTGATTGGAAGAAGGGGAGATGGCAGAGATAGTGATTGGAAGAAGGGGAGATGGCAGAGAGACTTCTGGACTTGTAAAGACTTTAGAGAATAATAGGAATGATTTGAAAGTTTCAAAATATATAAACTTATCTGCTGTAGGGAGGGCAGTAGTAGAAGTAGGGAGCCAAGAGCCTATTGCAAAAATTCAGGTGAGACAAGATAGTGCCTTGGAGTAGGTTAGTAACAGTGGACATACCAAAGAGGTCAGAGTTTAAATATATTGTGAAGGTAAATTGGGATGTGAGGGAAAGTTTTGGCATGAGCAACAGGAAGAATGGAGTTGCCATTAACTGAAATGGGGAAGGCTCTTAGGAGAGCAGTTTTGGCTAGGTTAAATTTGATACACCTATATTGGATAACTTGTTTTGGTTTTTCAGTTGAATTGTGGAATAGTCAGTTGGCTATTTGAATCCAGGGAAGTTCAGGAAAGAGATCCAAAATTAGAGACATAAATTCTGAGAGTTTTATTATCCAGATGGTATTTTAAGCCATGAGGACTATGAAACTATGAAATAGTGCATATAAAGTCCAGCAGAGAACCTATTATATGACTTATAAATTGACTGTGAGGGAAAAGCTAGTTAGGTATGCATGTATGACTGGGGGGTGGGGTGAGGTTTAGGATCAGGAGTATGGTATCTAGAAGTCAAGGAAAAAGTGTTTTTGAGTAAGGTGGAATTAACCATATCAAATTCATATAGATCCTGATAAATCAGGTAGATGTGGACTGAGAATTGACCTTGAGATTTAGCAGTGCAGAGGTCATTAGAGATCTTGGCAAAAACAGTTTAGGTGTAATAGAGTAAATGCGTGGTTGAAATAGGTTTTTGAGAGAATTACAAACACATAGATAATTCTTTCAAAGATTTTTGCTGTAAAGATCTGAAGACAATTGGAGTAGTATTCTGAGGAAGTGGGAATGAGAGGGTTCTTTAAGATGAGGGAAATAGCAGTACACTTACATGTTGATGAGAATGATCCAGCGGAGATGGATTTAGAGGAGAGAATTGTTGGAGTTCTGTTTTTGAGAAGGTGGAAAGGCATGGGATCCAGTGCATATATTTATATCTAAGTAAGGCAAGCTTGGCTCTAGATAGGAACACAGACAGTTCATTTATAGCTACAGGAGAGAAGACAGATGGGATGACAGGGGTAGGTCACTGTAATGGGAATTTTGAGAAAGTTCTCCACTTTACTTCAATGTTCTCAGAGAAAATAAAAGTGAGCCAGGATTTGAAATTATCAGCTAAGAAAAAGAAGTGACCCAGAGGATGGTAGGGGACAATAGCAATGAGGGGTACAGAGTAATGGAATCTAGTGATATTCTATTCAAGACTGGGAATTTTTAAGGAGAAAGGAGTTTGAATGGTCTGCAAATATGAATATGATGTGGCCTCTAGAAGGGAGATGGGACAAAAAAGTAGCACTTGCCTATTCTCCAGGGCTGCTGGAAAGTCTGCATCTTCCGGAGAGAGACTGGTTCAAGAGGATGGAGTGAACATTTAGAAAAAATATTGAGGCTAGAGAGGTTTTGCTAACAATGGATTGTGAGTTTCAGAGGACTTAAGGAGTTGGGCATGGGGAGAAATGGAGACCACAATCATTTTCTGTGGCTACTATGGCAAATTACTACAAACAAGGTAGTTTAAAACAACAGAAATTTATTTTTTTAAAGTTCTGGAGGCTAAGTCCAAACTCTACTATTTACTGAGCTGAAATCAGAATGTCTGCAGAGCTGCTCTCCCAGAGATTCTAGGGAAGAATTCATTCCTTGCCTCTTTCAGCTTTGGCCATCTGTGGCTTGTGGCAGCATTGCTTCAATCTTTGCTCTCCCCTCTGAGAACAGTATTTAAGTCCTACCTGGAGAATCTCTCCTTCATAGGATCCTCAATTTACTCAAATCTGCAAAGAGTCTTTTTCTACATCAAGTTTAGAACCACATATCTTTGCTGGGGTGCGTTTTTCAGCGTACCGTAAGATTAAATGAGGGTTGTAGAGAGCTGGAGTGGGATTAGAAGGAGAGAGATAGGGTGACTTGGGAGTTTAGGGATTCTTGTAATCAACATAAGGAGCACAGTGAGAGATAGTCCTTTGGGCTCAGAGTAAGTAGTAGTGGAGGGACTGAGTATTCAGGTGCCTACCTCCAATAGATGACAGGGGTTTTTCTAAAAATCTGCAGGTGAAGTTTGAGAGACTTGGGGAAGGAATACAGGCTTGGGAGGTTGGTCTTTTCCAAGTATTTGGCTCCACATCAACTGCACTTTCTCATTGAAAGTTTTTCTGATCTTTTCCTCTGCCCAGGTAGAGTTAATCACTTCTGTGTATTGTGCATTAGAACCACAGTTCTTTTCATACTATAATTGAATTATTTCTTTATCTTTCAGTTTTTAATTAGACTTTAAGGTCTAATAGGCCATAAATCTAATAGACAAATAGACAAGTTTAAAGTTTCCTTCCTATTTCTCTAATCCCCCTCCCTTTTCTCAAATTAGGCATATATCTTCTGTGCTTCCATTAAACTTCCTACATTGTATTAAAACAAGTCTGTTCCCACACTGGATTATTTATTTTTTGAGAGCAGAGATCATAACCTGTCCTCTGTTCTCAGTACTTAGTCTAGTGCCTGGCATATAGGTTTGAATGAAAAAAAAAGATAGTCATTTACCTTTTTGGATTCTACTTTAAATTACTTTTTATTGCTTCCATACATTCAGATTTTATGTGAAGAATTTTGCAGATACTTATCTATGAAGGGCATAAATTTTAGAATGTGATTATATTACCCTTTCCTGTGGTGTTGGTGGATTCTGTTATTGAAGTATCTTGGTTTGGGGTGATCTGTTCCTTTTACTTGTGTTAATACTATTATTAATAACTCCTACCTCCCATCCTTTGCCCTTTCTTTTTCTTTCATTTCAGTGATGGAGTACCCAATGATGGAAGCTAACTCAATTACCTCAGGAATTAAGAGAAATGTGAAAGACAGAAGAATTTCAAAGACTAAGTTGAACGTTTCTCTTGCTTCAAAAATCAAAACAAAAATAATCAGTAAGTACCACAAGTTTTAAAGTATACTCACACTTTTACTTTTCTTGGAGAATTGATATATTTGCTATCTTATTTCATCAAGAATAGAAAATTATGCTAGGCATGGTGGCACACACCTGTAATCCTAGCTACTCAGGAGGCTGAGGCAGGAGGATCACAAGTTTGAGGCCAGCCTTAGCAACTTAGTGAGATCCTGTCTGAAAGAATAGAAAATTGCTAAACCTACTGTTTTGTTAGTTGTAATTTTTTCCCCCATTTGATCCTTCCTCTGTCCTTCAGCTCCTGTTAATTGAGTAGTTTTGTTGATTTTTTTCTTAGTGGTGACAGCTGCATTTTCAACAGTGAGGTTTGGGTGACCCAAGGCAGCTACCTCTTATGCTGCAAAGAAAATACCAAAGTGATTTCTCTGGAAAAGAGCTAAAAAGAGTAATAGATTCTTCTGGCATGCTGTGGCAATTGGATGGTAACCTAGAGTGGAGTTGGCATAGAGTGGGGTGCTATAGTAGGTTATTTTATATAGCCAAAGCTCATTATGAAGATACTAAATGCTTTGGGAATGGGATTTCATGAATTCATGAAGGGGCGGGGGGGAGGGATACAGGAGAAACTCCCCAGAATAAATTCTCACTAATTCTATAAATTATTTGAATTGGCTTATATCCATTTTAGTTGGAATGGAGGAAGTGTCCTTTGTAGTTACATTTCCTGCTGCTAAATCTCCTCTGAAAGATAATTGTGTTTGTGTTATGAAATAAATAAGCCTTGAGTATCTTTAAATCATGATGTTGCTCCTGTCTAGGTCTCTAGGGCCATCTTGTATGTTAGCCCATCTCCTATAGTGGCTGAGTCCTTCTCTCTTTGGCAGGACCCATTGTGCACCCCCTATTATAAGGGATATGCTGTGCTTGAGGAATACAACAGGAAAATTGTTATTACCTTTAGCTTCTGGAAATTTTGAACTGGTTCCAGTCTTTTTCCACCAGCTATACCAAGGAGAGCTATCTGAAACTACTCTCTCAATGCCAAAGATAAAGCTACTTTTTGGACCCTGATTTTTAGTTGCCCAAATTTTCTCTGAATATCTAAAAATATTATTACATTTTATAAAACATATTTTACATAAACTATACTTTTATCCAGCGGAATATGTTATTGGCATATGGTAAGATATAAATCCAAATTATAAAAATATAATTATGCTTTAAGTGTACAAAGGGAACATATTATATTCAAGATGAGTTAAACCAAAGAATGCACACTGAAATTTCTTTGCTACCAACAGAATAGCATTTCAGTAGTGATTTGAATCATATTTGCGTAGTCATTTAAAACATACAGGTCAGGTTTAGATTGCAGTCCCTGCCTAAAATAAGAGATAGGCTCTTTTGGATGTAAGTAGGAGATCCCATAGTTTTGACTATTGTCCAAAATTACAGTAAGGATGCCGCCTTCTACTTGATGTTCTTTTGATACCAGGGATTGAACCCACAGGTGCTTAACCACCGAGCCACATCTCCATCATCCCTCTTCCCCCTTTTATTTTGGTACCAGGGATTGAGACAGGGTCTTGCTAGGTTGCTTAGGGCCTTGCTAAATTGCTGAGGCTGGCCTCAAACTTGTGATTCTCCTGCCTCACTTTCCTAGTTGCTGGGATTACAGGCATTCATTACCTTGCCTGGCTTCCACTTGAGGTTTAAAAAATGGACTTTTGGGAACATAAAATTATTTATCCAGTTCTGGAACTATAGAAACTGGCTTTTAATGTTTCACAGATTGACTATCTCAATTCCTATGAGACATTGCCAGTTGGAGCTGTGRGATCAGCTTTTCTGTTTTACCTTCTATTCAAAAGTAGGAAAGAAGGTAGGTCAATAAGTATCAAGAGTTCATTTTCATGGTTGATCTAACTATCTAGGACACTGGGTCTGTATTACTGTGCTTCTCTTATTCTCAACTTCATTTATATACATTTTGCTCTCTTTGCAACTCTTTTCTTCATCTTCTGTGTAGCTTTTCTTTCTTCATCTTAAACTCTGGGTACAGTTTTTTTTTTCAAAATGACATCTGTATTGCTATTTTTTTCTAGCATTCAGTTCAAACTTATAAACTGAAATACATTTTTTAAAAATAGTTTTACTAAGGAATATAAAAATTTCGTAAAGCATAAATTTAATATTAACTCAATTTTTTTTTACAGACAATTCTAGTATTTTTAAAATTTCTCTAAAGCACAACAATAGAGCATTAGCTCAAGCTCTTAGTAGAGAAAAAGAGAATTCTAGAAGAATTACAACTGAAAAGATGCTGTTGCAAAAAGAAGTGGAGAAACTGAATTTTGAGAATGCATTTCTCCGTCTAAAGCTAAATAACTTGGTATGGAAACTATATTGTTTTTGAATTCTAACTCGTAATTAGAATCTTTTAATTGCATTATTATAGAAACTAAAAATGTTTTTTAAGTCTTTGATTTTGCAAAGAAGCATTGATAATCAATATGCTATGTAAATTTGTGTTAAAGGACCAATATCTAATGGGTAATAAAATAGTTAACTTCAGTCTAATTCTAAATGTGTGCTGTGTGCTCTGCAAATCAGTATAATTTTGTGATGCACATTTGATTATCATAGCAAAGCAAAGCTTGATGCTTTAGTACATTATAGAAGGATGAGCTAAATTCCTTCTGGGAAATGAAATGAGGACCCTCCCAGGGTGTTTGTATTCTCCTTTAATGGTAGCATTTCCCTGGCTACAAACCAAATATAATGAAGGTTGTAATTGTTACTTTTTCTTTGAACTTTCAACTCTCTGTCCATAGGCTGGGCAATGAGAGCCAGCTAGGCTGCAACTATAGATCTAAATCTAAAATGAGTAGAAATTAATTTAAAATGGAGAAGTGACCTGTAATACTCAAAGGTTAAATATCTCTGATCAATTATGTTTATTTGCTAGGTGATATATTATTATAAGAAGATAGAAAAATGTTTGTAGGAAAATTTATAGTTGATATCTCAAAAGCATTCAAAATGTCTGTGTATATGACTATTTGGACTATTCAGTGTAATGCCTTTTTATCTCAATGTGATCTCCATAGAAAACAGTTGAGTCTTCTCACATTGACAGTGATCACAAATGTATTATATTATAATAAACTCCAAATCTTAACTGATTAAAAGAGGTCTCTCTTTATTTTACATATACAGAATAAGAAGCTTATTGAAATAGAATCACTCATGAACAATAACTTAATAACTGCAATTGAAATGAGCAGTCTTTCTGAGGTAAGTGAATTTGTGTGAGGATAATGTCATTTTTTAGCATTATTGAGGATAATTGAGAATAGCTAAATACCATCAAGGTTAGAGACTCATATTTTAAACCTTGTGCAAAGAAGTGATAATATCCATTTTTAACTGGCTAACAGCACATTATTTCATGTAATTGGTTATTGAAATTATTACATAAAATTTAGATATCTATTAAAAGTAATAGGGTTACATAGCTCATTGAAATACAGTGGCTTCTAAACAGACTCAGAAATAAAAACTTAATAGAAAGGTAGGCATTTCAAATTAGGAAGAATTTGTATTATTTTAAAATAAAAGATAGAAACAATTGGAAAAACTATTTGTGGGGTGGAATTAGAGGCAGATTCTATTTATAGCATTCTCCAAAATAAATTCTAGATGGATTTAAATGTAAACAAGGGAATCATTAAAATTGTGAAGAAAATGCTAGTGAATTCAAGTTAGGTGGAAGAGATTGTTCTATACCTAAGCAAGTGCTATATCATTGAACTACATTCCCAACCTTTTTTTTTTTTTTTTTTTTTTTTTGGACAGGGTCTTGCTAGTTTGCCCAGGGATAGCCTGGAATTTTTGATCCTCCTGCCTCACTCAGCCTTCCAAGTAGCTAGGATTACAGATGCATCCTATGTGTGAATATAGCAAAGTTTTGTATATACTGTCTACAGTTTCTCCTGTACCACCCCTGTTAGGTTTTCACCACCATAACACTAATACTGCTATTCTGAAAATCACCATTAATGTCAATGTTGTAAATCTCTACAGATAAGCCTTGGTCTTAATATTGACCGTTTATGACTTTTAGAAGACAACACATACCTATGTCTTATCCTAACTCTCTAGCTGTTATTTTTCATCCTGTTTGCTGGTTCTTCTTTATTTTACTGACTTAGTTCATCAATCTTATGGTTTTATTTATCACCATGTACTGGTAACTCCTGAATTTGCGGCTCCAGCCTGGCTGTCTCCTCTGAACTCCACATGATACTTATCCAGATACCTGCTTGACACCTATTTGGCCATTGAAAGGTATCTCAAATTTCATTTTTGCTACCAAACTGGTTTCTTTGAGGTCTTTATCTGAAGTATTTTCCTATCTTTTTTCTTGCCCAATCTCTGATCCTTTAGCCAATCCTTTTAGCTTTGTCCTTATGATCTGTCCAGAATTCTACCTTTTTTCACAACCTTTTTTCACCACCCATGGCCATGGTACCACCATCTTTTACCTGAGTATTGTAATGGCATCTCAACTTGAGCTTCTTGCTTCTGTTCTCTTAGCTCTACACTCTTCTCAAGACAAAATAAAAGCCACAGTGATGCTGTTAAAATGTAGTCTCTGCCTAAAACCCTCCAGTGACTTCATCTTATCTCTTGCCCTGTTTCATCTGAAAACTGAAACTCTTATCGTTTCTCACATCTCATAAACTCCTCTCCCCTCCATCCACTCTAACTTCTTCAATCTGCAGACCTCCGCCCACTCCCTCGAGCACAGATGAGCTGCCACTTTGAGCACCTCCATACTTGTTCTTCCTTCACATATTGGCTCCAATATTTGTGAGCTCCCAGTGAAGCTTTCCTTGGCTCCTCTGTATAAATTTAAACACTTGCCCATCCCACCCTTCATTTTATATCTTGCTTCCCTGCTTTAGTTTTTCTCCTTGACCACTTTTTATACTATATAATATATAATTTTACCCATTAATTTTGTTTTATTCATCCCACCAGAATGTAACTTGATTACAAGGATTTTTGTGTGCATGCAGGAACAATGTCTAAAACGTAATAGAATGCAGTTAATTTGTTTAGTGTTTTTTTTTTTCTCATTGAGATTGAGGCTTTTCGAGGGTTTTGATTTATTTTGAGACTCAGTTTGTTGCCCAGGGCTTTGCTCTGTTGAACTGGGCTTCAGTTATCCTCCTATCTCAGCCTTCTGAGGAACTGGGACTATGGGGTGTATGCCCCTGTACCCAGCTCCCTTTTTTTTTTTTTTGTTTGTAATTCCAAAAAGCAAGGTACATATTATCCTGCAATCTCTCTGTTTTTGAGATTTTTAATAAAAATAATGCTAAATAATGTAACAAAACAAAACAAAACTTTTTAGCATGATTACCATATGGTGTTTCTTCTTAGGTTTCAACTGATTACTTATTTTAGTAGTTTTCCTAATCTCATAGTTCTGGGATAAACTTCAGAAATGATTTATTATTCTTTTAACTCATGCTACTGAGTTATTTTTGCCAGTAAGTAAGATCTCTTTGTAGTTTTTTCTCCATACAGGCTTTAGGCATTGATAAAAATGTCATATATACTAAGATTTTAGAAGTTTTTCTTTTCCTATTGTCTGGAGAAGTGATATAGTTTTAGAATTATTTCTCTTTATAGGTTTGGTAGAATTTTTTGTGAAATCATTTGGACCTGGGACCTTTTTAATAGGAGTGATTATCTCTTTGTCAACTTTTTTTCTATAGATATTGATCTACTTAGAAAAATTTCTTCCTTCTATGGTCAGTTTTATTTAGTTACCTTTCTTGGAAAAATTATCTGTTTTATCCAGTGTTTTAAACTGATTTGCATAGAGTTGGCCAAAGTACTATGTCATTTTAAAAAATTTTGTCTATTGTATTTTCTCAGTTGTCTTCTTCTGTGTATTTGACCTGTAATTTTTTCACTATATTAGGTAGTTGTAGTTTTTCTTTTGTTCCTTTAAAAGCATCATTCTTTTAATTTAATTTTGAGTTCTATCTTGGTGTTTTAAGCCTACTAGTTTTCATTTTTTCTTAAAGTTTTTCTGTTTTTCTGTGGTTTATTTTATGTTAATTTTCTAACTTATTTAGAAATGCTTGTTTCTTTAACTCTGTAGGTAAGGTGTCATTTTCTTACTGCTTTCAGAATTTTTTTCATTGTCTTTAGTTTTGAGAATTCTGACTTTGATGTGTTTGGGCATGAATTTCTTTGGGTTTATCCTTTTGGGGGTTCATTCAGTGTCTTAGATTTGTAGGTTGATGTCTTTCATTTTCAGAACTACTTCTCCAGGTATGTTTCTACCCCTGCCCTCTCTCTTCTCTCCTGGGACTCTGAGAATGTGAGGGTTATGTCTTTTGTGAAAGTCCTACAAATCCTTGACTCTGTTAATTTTTTTCATTCCCTTTTCTGTCTTGTTTTTTTTTGCGTGATTTTTATTCTGTGTTTACTTTCATTGAATTTTTTCCCCTTCTGTCTTTTCTTTTATTACTTTTGAGCTCTCTGGATTTTTATTTCAGTTTGTCTTATTTTGGTTTTTTTATTTTTCAGTTCTAGGTTTCTGCTTGGTTTTGTACAAATTTGGTTTTCTGATACTTTCTGTTTCTTTGCTGAGTCTCTTTATTCACTTGTTTTAAGCAAGTTAATAATTCTTTGTTTAAGCATTTTTTTGATGGTTGCCTTGAAATTCTTGTCAAATAATTCCAATATTTGTTATCTCAGAGTTGGTGTCTGTAGTTCGTTTTTTTCTTATATAAATTTAGGTTTTCCAGGGCTGGGGATGTGGCTCAAATGATAGCGCACTTGCCTGGCATGCGTGCGGCCTGGGTTCCATCCTCAACACCATATACAAAACAAAGATGTTGTGTCCGCCGAAAACTAAAAAATAAATACTAAAAAAATTCTTTCTCTCTCTCTCTCTCTCTCTCTCTCTCTTAAAAAAAAAAATTAGGTTTTCCTGAATCTTGGTACATGAGTGATTTTCTGTTGTAATTTTAGACATATTAGGTATCTTATGTTATAAAACTCATTATTTTCTCAAAGTCTTCTGTTTTAACAAATCTCCTCTGACTTCATGTGGATGCTTAAGAGGAGGTACTGCGTACTGCCAGGTGGGGACCAGTGTTTAGGCTCCTCAGGCAGCTTCTATTAATTATACCTGTTGGTAAAAGCTGCCTCATAGCATGGTTGTATGTTTCGTAATTTTATGGTCCTTATTCAAATTATTTAATACACATGTTTATTTCAGAAAATTCAGAAAGTCTAGCTATTCAAAAATATAAAAGGTTAAAATCACCTAGACTAGAATTTTAAATATGTATGATAGATCCAATGTATTATATTATATTATATGATGATATATGTATTATATTATATGATGATATATACATAATATATATATATATTACATAATATGTAGACATGAATGTATGCATATAAGTGTAAAAATCTTATATATGTACGAATATTTATTCCTTTCATAGAAAAATATTTGGAAGGTTACTTAACAGAATTATTGGGTGGATTAAGGATGAACCGTTTTAATCTTATTGTCATATTGTTTTCAGTCAACTATTGATGAGTAATGCAAAAATTGCCCTGTTACTACTCATGCATGTCCTTATATAGTTTGCTACTTTAAGGACAAACCTCATTTAATGAAATTAGAAACTTTACTTTCAATTTTCTTTGTTCTGTCTGTTTTCTTTTTTCTGATAGTTCCATCAAAATTCTTTTCTACTGCCAGCTAGCAAGAAGAAATGGATTAGTAAACAGTGCAAGTCCATACGTCTTCCATTTGCAAGGTAATTGCTTCAAAACTTGGCTAAATAGTGACTTGCAAACTTCTACATTAGGATAAGACAGATTGGACCTTGAATAGTTTTTATTTGGTTTTATTTCTTAAAATATAGAAAAGCATTTAAAAATAAATAATGAAATTTATTTTTAACATTTTACCAGTAAAGGAAATTAGATATTCTCAAAGCATTCAGTTTTAAACCTTGAAATAATAGAAAGAGGCACCGGTGGACTCTTGGTTACAAGGGCTTGAATTTCACTGGTTCAGAGCACAGAGGATTTATATAACACAATCAGTGTTTTCATTGTACAGTCTTTTTTTGTCAATCTGTAGTTGCCTATTAATGTGGGAATGAGAATGGTTTGTGGTGTCTTCTTGTATAGGCAGTATCTTCAGGACTCCAAAGAAACTTAACCCTTAAGTCAGTAATCAAGTTCATCTGTAGTATCCTCCTACTTTTAATTTATTTTCTTTCTTTTGACCTCTGTTTTTTTGCTGGGGAAATCTGATAACTGTTTCTATGTTTATCATACTACCTCAGGCTTTATAATTAACTTTCATCTTTTCTATTTTCCTCCTGTCTAGAATTCTCATTCCTTAATTTTATTATAAGTCATAGAATGCATCTTATTTTAATCAAACCTGTCAAGTTAAAGGAAAGTCATCAAGACCAAGACAAGTTAAATGGCTTAATGAACTAATAGCATTGACTGAAATCCTGTTGTTTCTTTCCAAAAATGTTCTCTCTGTTATGTAATTTATAGGTTTTATGCTTTTTAAACAAATAAATGCACTTATATATTGAAACATTAGTTGTAATTATAGTTTAAAAATTCTCATACTGTCTCAATTTTTATATTCATTCTAGTTTATCCCATTGATTATGTATGTTATTACCACTTTATGCCAGTACATTTTAATTACTGTAGTTTTAAAATGGCAAAATGTATTATTTTGTAGGGCTTTAGTTCTTTTTCAAAAATATGTTAACTATTATACATATATTGTTTCGTATAAACATGCAAATTTCATACTGTTCTTTTCAGTGAATTTTTGTTTGAAATAAAATATAAATACACGTTAGAATTTGGCAAATTTCACAAGTGAATAGCATTGCATGACCCATACCTAGACCAAGAAATAGATTAGTAATATTACTTTAGATACTGCACCTTTGTGCTCTTTTCTAGTCACTACCTAATACCCAACCATTAGGATAAAGTTATATCTTATCAGACTTTTAAAAATTTTTAAAGAATTTTTCCATTTCTTTCATCTATAGTATTGAATTATTGACATAAAATTGTTCATAAAGGCATAAGGCTATGTGCTTAATATGTGTAGGATATATAGTAGTATTCTCTTTTTTTCTAAATAATTTTTTAAAATAAAAATTTCTCAATTCTCATTTGCCTTTAAGGGTTCCATTAAGTTTGAATGATGATGATGATGATAAAGAGAAAATGCAGAATGATGACAAAATTGTATCAAAAGCATCACCTGATATTCTCTCTTCAGTATCAACAGGACAAACTTTATCAACTCAGTGTAATTTGGATGTGTCATTCCATAAAGAAAATAATCAGAATGTGAATGATTTAGATCATTCAGAAGATATTTCTTCCATTGTTGATGTACTTCCCAAAGGTGAGATTGTTTTAAAAATGCATTTTGAGCGTAGTTACATTCATCAGATTTTCTTCTTGAGGATGATGATATGTAAGTAGTTAGTAAGTTAGATCTCTTAATGTTACAAATGTGCTAACTTCTCTCATTTAAAACTGCTGATATTTAAAGGAAATATGCTGACAAATGTAATATCCATAATTGCCTATTACTCTAGAAGCAATATTTAAAAATGAGCAGGCCTAAGATTTTCTTGGTACCTTAGCCTATAATTTGAAAATAAATATTTTATATATATATATATATAATTTTTTTTAAGTAAGTTATTTTCCTCTCCTTTTCATAAACTTGAAAATTGGGAGCTTAAGTGGATATTACAGTGACTTTTACCACCCAATAGTGGTAAACCAAACTCTTGAGCCTGCATAATGACTGAGTAACAAACAATGATGACACGAATATTTTATTTACATGGTATTCCTAAATAATTATCCTGTGGTATATCTGACACTCACATATTTGTCATAGATTTTCAGATTGACATATAAAGTCATAACTGTATTAAATTCAGAGCTTAGAACTATTTGTCCTTTCTGACAATTTATACATAGCCTAATAGCTTTTGTATAATAATTCTTACCAGAGTTATCTCTGATATTTGGGTTCATTCATTGGCCTCCTTCCCCTTAGAAATCATATGTTAATGGTTCTACTGTTGGCTCTACTCCACTCTACTATTGGGGCTGAGGCAGTATGAATTCTCCAGTAGTATGTATTTTTCCATAGATACCCTTTTAAAATTTAAGTTTTTATCAGMATAGATTCTTAATAATATAAGGATCTGGCAAGAATATATTGTCAGAAATCTTCTCTGTGAAATGGCTTCATTTTCTAATTTGTTTAAAGTAACTTATTACCTATTTCTGATTTTTTTCTTCTTTATTTATAGAAAGCTGTTCTCACTCAGATCAGCATTCTAAGAGTTTACTAGTGAGTGAGATGAGAAATGCCCCATTTGTCAGCCACAGAAAGGAGAAACCATCTCTTACTAATGTGGACAAAAGGAAGAAGTGTGGGTCATCTTGGGAGTCTCCTGAAGACACTCCCTGTGTGACAGATTTAGATCAGCAACAGATTTTAAGTCCAGAACTAAAGTGGAATAATGAGATAAATGATTATACTAATGAAAAAAATATTACAATACAAAGAAATAGACAATGCCTTCCTGACATATCTTCGGAGTTTGCCAGCAAACCTAGTGCAGAATGCATGAGTTCAGTTAAGAATAATGATGACCTTCAGGAGCAGAAAACTGTGTATGATGATGACATGGATTTAACTGCTAGTGAAATAAGCAAAATTATTACAGTTTCAAGAGGCACTAAAAATAAAAGTAATATAAAACCAAATGATTGTGGAAAAAAAACTTTCAGAAAAGTAAAAGATTCACGCTCTGATAAAAAGAGAGAAAGATCAAAGAAAAAATGCAAAAAGAGTTCAGATGTAGATGTTGAGGAAAGGATTGAAAATAGACCAGAAAAGTCTGTTGTCCTAGACGGCAAAAGGGATTCAGAGGATCCAAATTTTATTTGCAATACTGAACACCTGATACAGGCAAACATAGTGAAGAAAACAACCCTTCAGAATAGCTTTGATCAAGATGATGGACAAAATACACACTATAATGAAAAGGAGAGAGGAATGCATGTAACAAATGAGCATAAATTTCTACAGGACAGCAAATTGGATATGGGTCAAGATTCTCTAACTTATAATAAAAGTCAAGCTTCTACACAGACATTTGTGATGCACAAATTGGAAAAAGATAACTTATTCCTAGACCAAAAGAATAAAGAAACCATTTCTGAAAACCTAGAAGTTGTAAATAAATTTCAAAGAGCTGATATTTCCTCCCAAAATAATGGAAATTTTTGTGATTATGAGACCCAGAATATGTTGGACACTGATATGCAGCTTGCTCAGCAAAATGGATCAAAAATAAATAATAAGCTTAGGCAAAAAGTAAATAGGAAAACTGAAATAATTTCAGAAGWGAACCAAATATATGAGGCTAATGATAAAGGTCTACATGTCCCAGAAAAAGGTAACTTTTTTCCCCAAACCCAAGTGGTTAAAGAGACCTTTTCTGAAAACCTAGCAGTTTCAAAAGACTTTCAGATACCTGCTCTTTTCATGAAAGGTAATGGAAACATACATGATTATGAGACCCAGAATGTATTGGGTTTGCAAAAGCAGATCACCAGTGTGTACCCTGTTCAACAAAATGAGTCAAAAGTTAATAAGAAGCTTCGGCAGAAGATAATTCGGAGGACGGAAATAATTTCTGAAGTGAATCATTTTGAAAATGACAAAAGTGTGCATTGCCCAGAAAAAGGTGATCCTTTCATCCTACAAAAGGATAAAGAAGCCATTCCTGGAAACCTAAAAGACTCAAGTGAATTTCAAACACCTGTTCTTTGTACCAAGAAGAGTAAAGAGCTAGGTGAGTATGAAACTCAGAATGTTCCTGGGATGAGAAGGCATATCCATGATGTGCAACTTGCTTGTCAGAATGATTCAAAAGTAGACAGGAAGCTTAGACAAAAGGCACATCGAAAGACAGAAATAATATCTAAAGTCAACCAAATATGTGAGAATGATGACAAAGGTATGCATAACCTAGAAAAAGATAACTTTGTTTCTTTAACCCCAAAGTATAAAGAAACCATTTCTGAAAACCTAGAAGTTGCAAATGAATTTCCAGCAGCTGATTTTCCCACCAAAGATAATGGGAATTTATGTGACTATGAGATACAGAACGATTTAGATTTGAAAAAGCTTGTTGCTAATATGCAACTTGTTCAACAAAATGAATCAAAAATAAATAAGAAACGTAAGCAGAAAGTAAATAGGAAGACTGAAATAATTTCTGAAGTGAACCAGTTATATGAGCCTAATGATAAGGATGTGCATGACCAAAAGAGCTATACAGAAGATCTTGATTTGAAAGCAAATAAATCTAAACTTGAATGTGAAGGTATTATCAGTGGACATTATATGGAAATCAACAATAATGAAAAGGAAAGTTGTAATGAAATTCCAGATCTTTATAAACTTGTTAACAAGCGTAAAACAAAATCATCAAGAGATAAGAACAAATCAATTTGTCAGTTAACAGATTCTTCACTGTCTAGTTTAAAACATAGTACTAATGAAGCAGATTCTGATCCTGGAAAACAGACTGAGCCACCTAAGAATCACAAGCAAAGCACCATAACTCTGAATACAAAAAGAGATGTCACTTTTGTGGAAGTGATAAAAGAAAAGTGTGAGGTCAAAAAAGTAAATAAAAGGACATCCAAATCAAAGAAAAGGAAGACCCTCGCAGATCATTCTTCAGGGACCAGTGATGTAGTGGAGATAATACCTGACATTGATCACAGAAAGTCATTTGACTCTGAACAAGCTAATAAAGAAAACTATTTGGAGAAAGATAGTACTGTCAAAATTAAGCCATATTTTCACACAAATGTGTTTAAATCTTTAGCTCAGATGTATTCCCCTAACATACAAGATTCTTCCTTTGACAATGTTCGTGAAAGTTCAATACCTTTGAGTATTTCTTCCAGTAAAAACCTGATGATAAAAGAAACTTTTCCCTTGGAGAACTTATCCATCTTTCAAGTAAGCGATGATGTACATGAGAAGATAAAAGAAGTCAGCCAGCAAACAGGAAAATCAGGAAGAGGTAGGTCAATACCTGGAGTGATCAAGTTGTAGAAGTGGTATGTCTTTGTTTTTGGTTTTCAGTTAGTCAGTAAAAGTATTTTATGTTATAACTGTTTGTTGTTTGTTTTTGTGGTGCTGGGGATTGAACCCAAGGCCTTGTGCATGCGAGATAGGCATTCTACCAACTGAGCTATATCCCCAGCCCATAACTGGTATTTTTCATGGAATTTTAAAACAGTATATAACTATGTAGCTTAAACGAATTAAATTCTAGTGCTTTGAGAAGATAACAGTATTGTCAGGGACATTTACAACCTTAAATGCTGATTTGGTCTTTACCACAAAGTTATCTAATAGTAGCTTTAGGTAGAAAATTTCCTTTTTCATGTGTTTGAAGGAAATTGAGTGTTTTAAATGTATATTATAAGGAATGGCATTGGTTTTATTATTTGGCTACTTATAATAGCCAAAGACTATTACAAGTTTCTTTTTTTTTTTTTAAATGAAGACATCTAGGTGAACATTAGAGAGCGAGAGAGAGAGAATTTCATTATTTATTTCTTAGTTTTTGGTGGACACAACATCTTTCTTTGTATGTGGTGCTGAGGATCRAAACCAGGTGCACGCATGCTAGGCGAGCACGCTACCGCTTGAGCCACATCCCCAGCCCTATTACAAGTTTCTTAAGAGTGCAACTCTTCATTCAACAGCATGTGATCTAAGAGTTATTCTAGGTGCTGTCAAGGACTGAAAAGTAAGACTAGCATCCTTTCCTTAGAACATAATGCATGTGAAAGTAAAAAAAAAAAAATACAATGGTGAAATAAAAATCTTCTAATAAAAGCAGGTAAATTATGCTAAAGGATATAATGAGGGGAAATTTCAATTAGAGGAATTTGCAAAGACATTATTAAGTAATCAGCATAGGTAAGATTTTTACTCTGTTAGTGTTTTTTCTTTCCCCAGTTATTCAAATAATGAAGTAGAAAACCAGGAAAAAAGTCACTCAGAAAAATGGCAGTCAAGCTGAGCTAGCAATTCCGGAGGCGAGGCAGGATGATTGCCAGTTCATAAGTCAGCCTCAGCAAATTAGTGAAGTCATAGGCAACTTAGTGAGACCCAAAACAAAACAAGACAAACAAAAAATCATAAAAAGGTGATGTGGCTCAGTGGTTAAGTTCCCCTGGGTTCAATCCTTGGTACAAAAAATCAAATCAAATAAAAAATGGCAGTCAACATTTTGCCATATGCTTGAAAACTTGAATCTGCAGATTTTAAAATACATATTTGAAATAATACTATATTTGATTTTACTTATCCCACTTTTTTCATTAACATTGAATCCTAAGGATATTCCTTTGTTATTAGAATTTTGTAACATTAGACATTCCCATATTTTTTTCTTTTTTTTTCATTGGTAACTCCAGGCAGGATCCAAAGAAGAGTTTTGCAATCTCTTCTCTGGGTTCTATGGAGGTTTGCTTTACCCTTCTGTGTTAACTTCTTAAAGCACTTCGTCAACCTTAAAAAGGCACAAGTAAGGGTGATACATTCTCATATCAATTGAATTTTTTCTACTGGGAAGTAACATTTCAAAACTTGTATGTAGAACACTAGGATTTTGATATGGATAAGGATGTTCAGGTAAAAGCCACCTGAAGAAAAAGAAGTACAAAGTCTAGAGTTATAGGATATATTTCAGGACTGGGGAACAACCTCTCATCCCTCTGTTCCTCATAGTGCCTTTCACAGTGAGCAATAGTGACATCTATGTCGAATGAATGTGCAGAAATTTGTGTTTCTGTGAAGAGTTGAACCATGAAGAATTTTTGGTATATGACTTCTTCTTCTTCTTTTTTTTTTGGTACCAGGGATCAAACCCAGGGGTGCCACAGCTCCAGCCCAGCCCTTTTTAAAATTTTATTAGAGACAAGTTCTCGCTAAGTTACTGAAGCTGGGTTTGACCTTGTAATCCTCCTGCCTTAGCCTCCTGAGTAGCTGAAATTATAGGCATGTGCTACCACACCTGGCTGCTTTGTATGTGATTTTATAATAAAAATGCTGCAGGTTTTTTTTGATAATTTGTTTCCAATTTTAGGCCTCTTTTACTCTCAAAATTGAATCATCAGCTTTAAAATTCCTGCCATGGATTTGCAAATTGCCATATATCCCATTTCTATTTCTATAACTCTGTGTACAATTTTACAAATATTTGTGAAAATAATGTTCTTTGCAGGTAGCAGAACATTACAGGACTTGACAAATACCAGTTTTGTTTCAAATAACACTGCTAAATCTAAAAATGACTTAGAAGATCTATCTTTAGAGATGCCAAGCAGAAGAAGGAGGTGTGCTCCTGCGAGTTTCAAAGAGCCAAATCTCAAAAAGCAAGTATTTCAGTGATTTCAATATGCTATTATAAAATAGGTGCTTAAGAAAAAAATTATGCCAAATTAGTATTAGAACACTCCTAAACATCAGTAAAACATATAATGTTGACATATAACAGCCACAGTATAATCTGGGTAGATGTAAAGAAATGTATTCTTTAACCAGGGTTTTGTTTTTGTTTTGTTTTGTTTTTTTTTTAATGGAGAGAATGGGGGCTTGAATTTAAAGTGGTTTTGTTTTGTTTAGTTTCCATTCTACTACTGCCATTTTTTAAATTGTAAATTGATAATTATATTTTTATATGTGTTGCCTATGATTTACAAGCCAATGTTGTCTATATCTGTTACCCATATTTATTTATTTTCCACCTTATTCTCTGGAGGAAGTCAATGTGGTTTGTGTCCTTTGGTCTCAATAATAATACTTTTTAAAAAATATTTATTTTTTAGTTGTATTGGACACAATGCATTTATTTTATTCATTTTTATGTGGTACTGAGAATCGAACCCAGGGTCTCGTACGTACCAGGCGAGTGCTCTACCACTGAGCCATAACCCCAGCCCTACTTTTTCTTTTTTGTGTAAACTTTATATATACCTCAACAAAGAGACTGCTATTGCCTCCCATCAATTTATCTATTCCTCAGGTTCAATATTTATCAATATTTTGCCATATTTGCTTCATCTGTCTTTTTTTGTTTTTTTAAAGTAAGTCCCTAATACTGATTTAACTTCTAAAATACTTCTGTATGCATCTCTAAATACTGAGAATTTCTTAATAAAATTCTTAACAAAACTAGATGAAAATTATCACATGTAACAAAATTGTCAATAATTCCTATCAACTAAAAGCCAATCCCTATTAAAATTTCCTTAATGAGCATCAAATGACCAGATTTCCCTTTACATTTGTATTATTCAAAAACTCATGTTTTTAAGAATAAATCAAATATGCTACTTTAGAAAATCTAATCATTCTTGGAGCCGTGTTTTCTGTAGGTTAGAGAAAAATATACTAAATCTTCCTTTGCATTGTTTCAGTATTTGCTCTTTTTATAAAATTTAAGACATTAATGGTTTTGACAGGTATTTAAAAAATAACTAGTAGAGGGCAGCAACATAAGGGAGGGTGAAAGAAGAAAGAGTGAAATAAAGGACCAATGCTTTTTAAAAACAGATTTATCAACATATAGAATATAGCTCTTTATAGTGACATACCATAAATTTCACTCTTAAGTTGTGTAATTCAGTGGCTTTTTAGCATATTCCATATTCCTCAGATATGTACAACTATCAATTTGAGAATATTTATTTACCCCCCCCCACCGTGCCCCCCAAAAGACTTATTCCCTTTAGCTATACTCCCCTATCCTCCAGCCCTAAGAAACCACTTATCTGCTTTCTGTTTCTATAGGTCTCCCTGTTCTAGACATGTCATTTAGCAGTATGTTTCAGGAGTTATGTATGCTATACCAGTAAATCATTCCTTTTTATGACTAGTATTCTATTATATTAATATACCACTTTTTGCTTATCGTTTCATCTATTGATGAACACTTGAGTTTTCATGGGGTTTTTTTGTTTGTTTTTTGCTATTATAAATCATGCTTCTATGAAAATTCATGTGTAAGTTTTTGCATGATCATATTTTAATTTCTTTTGATTATACATTGAGGAATGGAATTGCTGTGTCATGGTAGCTGTTTAAAATTCAAGGAGCTGTCAGAATGTTTTCCAAACCTGATATAACATTTTACATCACCACCAACTGAAGAGAGTTCTGATTTCTTCTCACCAGTATCTGTTATTATTTGACTTTGATTCTGGTCATCTTAGTGGGTATGAAGTGGTATCTCACAATGATTTTGATTTGCATTTCCTTGATGACCAATGATATTTGAGTATCTTTTCATGTGCTTATTGACTACTGTATATTTTCCTTGGAGAAATATCTATAGATGTTTTGTTCTTTATTTAGTTGAACTTTAAGTTAAATTGTATTTTGAATTAATTTTAGATTTACAGAAATGTTGAAAAAAATAGCACAGTTTCCCATTGACCCCTTACACAACTTTACCTAATTTAAACAATTTATATTGCCACATTACAGTTATCAAAACTAGAAAATTAGCATTGGTACAATACTATTAACAAAACTTTAGATTGCCTCTAACATCTTTTGTTTTTTAGAATCCTACCCAGGGTCCCACATTATATTTAGTTTTGATTTTTCCTTAGCCTCCTCAAACCTGTGACAGTTCCTTGGTCTTTTCTTTTATGCTTTTGAGGACTATGGGTCAGTTATTTCATAGAATGACCCTCAATTTAGGCCTTTGTAATGTTTTCTCATGATTACAATGTGACCATGCATTTTGGGCGATAACTCCACAGATGATGTGTCTTTCTCATTGCATCATATCAAGGATTCATCATGTCAGTATGTCTTACTACTGGTAAGGTAAGCTTGATCACTTGGTTGCAGTGGTGTCTGCCAGGTTTTTCCACTGTAGTTTTTATCTTTTCCTTTATGAAGGATGTGGGGTCCATTTATGTATCTTGTTTCTCAAAATTTTACTTACTAATTTTAGCATCCACTGGTAGTGAGTCATGCTTGCAACCATTACTGCTTCGATGTTTGGCTAATACTTTCTATGTCCCTCTTTCCTTCTATGCTACTTGAAATTCTTTTGTAAGAAAGTATTGTTTTTTCTTCCTTATTTATTTATTTATTTATTTATTTATTTATTTATTTATATAAGTGTAGACTCATGGATATCTATTTTATTCTATAGATGAAAACCCATTACTGTAAATCTTGAGTTATTCAAGTTATCCCAACTTTGGTATTAAAAATTCCTTCAGGTTGGTTTCTTTTTCCTTTTGACAAGACCTCATAATATTTTGAGCAGTTACTTACTTTCTGATTCACAAGATGTTCTAGGCTTATCATTTCTCTGGCCTGGCCCTAGAATCTAGCTCTTCTTCAAGAAACCTGATTCCCTTGACTGTAGAATTTTGTTCCAAAATCAAGGTCTAGGCACAAAGTATGCTTATTGCTTGTATTATATTGGACTAGCTATCTATTGCTGCATAACAGTATTACCACGTATCTAGAAGCTTAAAACAGCATACATTTATTACTTCTCAGATGTGGTCCAGGAATCTAGACATGGTTAACTGGTCCTTTACTTGGGGTCTCATAGCTACAATCAGGGTGTCACCTAGACTGGTTCTCATCGGGAGGCTCTACTGAGAGAATGTACTTTGAAGACAGCATGGGTGGTTGGCAAAACTCATTACCTTATGTGTGTAGAACAGAGGGCCTCAGCATCTTGCTGTTGGATATAGACTTGTTCTCAGCTTCCCTCCCAACCAGGCCACTTCTTTCAAAGTCAGCTATGAGAGAGTCTCTAGAGAAATCCACTAGTAAGATGGAGCTTTATACAATGAAACGTATTCTCAGAAGCCAGGTAGCCTGCCACCCATGTCACATTCTATTGGTTAGACACAGATCATAACTCCTGCCAATAATCAAGGTAATAGGATTATGCAAAATCATTAGTGCCAGTACACATGAATTATAGGGAAATCCTCCTTAAGGGTCTGTCTACCACAGACATCATTGCAGTTAGACCTTCTGATAGACAGAGCTAGGAAATACATGTATAATATAGTAACATAGACACATACATTTATATTTTTTTATCTATATGTATAGTAAAAACCATGAATTTATACTAGTAGTTCTGTTTCCAGTCCAATACCATAGGGTTCATTTTAGCCTTCCCCATTTGCTTATTCATAATTTCCCCATCACTGAAAAGCTTCATTCTCACTATTAATATTTGTTCAATTCAGTGTATACACAAGTAACTTTAGAATCATTAGTCCATTTTCCTGTGAGAAACATGTTAACTAGCTAGATTATAATGTGTGGGTTTTTTTTTTTTTTTGTCTTAGATTAGTTTTTTCCTTTCCCATTTCCTTCATTGTAGTTATGTTATTCACTTGTCATGTGATTAAGTTCATGTGTTATTGTTTCCATTCCATTGTACCAATATGCATCTCATCAGCAGGGTGGTAGAGTATGCCCTTTCTACAACCTCATCAACAGAATGTATTGTCATATTTTAAAGATTTGTGCTATGATAGATAAAAATTAGTTATTTCCATGTCATTTAGTTTGCACTTCTCTGTAACTGAATGTGTTTTTCTTATATTCTTGTTCATCATTATATCATTTTTTTGGTCGGTTTATGTCTTTTTCTTACTTTCCTATTGGGTTTATGATCCTCTATCCATCAGATATTAGGTATTCTTTAGGAGTAATTAGTCCTTTGTGGTATGGAATATGTTGTCAATATTTTTTTCATTTATCAGTTTTCTTCTTTGTGTTCTAATTACGTTAAAATTTTTTATTTTCAAAGTAGTCAAATTTACCAATCAATTCTTTTATCCTTTTTGAATTTTGAGATATAGTTGGAAAGCCTTTCTTCTTTCCAAATGGCTACATACCTGTCCCAACACCACTATTTAAAAATGCATTTTGGCCAGGTATGGTGGTGCACATCTATAATCCCAGCAGCTCGGAAGACTGAGGCAGGAGGGTGTGAGTTCAAAGCCAGCCTCTGCAATGGCAGGGTGCTAAGCAACTCAGTGAGACCCTGTCTCTAAATAAAATTACAAAATAGGGCTGAAGATGTGGCTCAGTAATTGAGTTTCCCCTGAGTTCAATCCCTAGTACCAAAATTAAATAAATAAAAATGTGTCTTTATCAGAGACTTGAGTTATTAGCCATGGTTACATACTAAATTCCTATATGTGAATTTTGGGAGGATCTAACCTAGACTTTTTATTATATTGCAGTGGTCAACTTATTTATTATGGGGACTTTTTAGTATGTTTTAAAGTCTGGTAGAGATAATACCCATTCATGGGTTTTTGTTGTTGTTATTTTGTTTTTGTAGCGCTGGGAATTGAACCTAGGGCCTCACACATGCCAGGCAAGCATTAGCATTCTACCATGGAGCTTTATCCCCAGCCTTTAATTTTAATATTGAGACAGGTTCTTACTAAGTTGTCCAGACTGACCTGGAACTTGTGATCCTTCTGCCTCAGCCTCCCAAGTGTCTTGGGATGTGCCATCATGACCAACTCCCAGGTATTTTTAGATGTTTATTTTTCCATATGAACTTCAGTATTGACTTGTCTAGCTCAGATTTTTATAACCTCAACACTAACATTTTGTTAGATTAGATTATCTAACATTTGGGGTTAGATATTTCTTTTTTGTGAGAGGCAGTTTGGGTACATTGTCAAGATACTACTAAAGTATCACTAACCTCCATCCACTAGATGTCAGTAGCATCCCCCTATTTGTAATAATCAAAAAATATCTTCAGATGTTGTAAAATGTCACCGAGTTGAAAACCACTGGTCTAGCTTGTTATTTTGGGGGGGATTTCACTGAATTGATATGTTAATTTAGGGATTGATCTTTGTAACTAGCTTTTTCTTTTTTTTTTTCATTCTCTATTCATTAAATTCTTTTTTATATATCAGAATGCATTATAATTCTCACATATACAGCACAATTTTTCATATCTCTGGTTGTATACATAGTATATGCACAACAATTTATGTCTTCATACCTGTACTTTGGATAATAATGATCATCACATTCCACCATCATTAATTACCCCTTGCCCCCTCTCTTCCCCTCCAACCCCTCTGCCCTATCTAGAGTTCATCTATTCCTCCCATGCTCCTTCTCCCTATCCCACTATGAATCAGCCTCCTTATATCAAAGAAAACATTCGGCATTTAGTTTTTTTGGGATTGGCTAACTTCACTTAGCATTATCTTCTCTAACTCCATCCATTTACCTGGCAATGCCATGATTTTATTATCTTTTATTGCTGAGTAATATTCCATTGTGTATATATGCCACATTTTTTTATCCATTCATTAGAGCAGCACAATTCACAATAGCTAAACTGTGGAACATTGGCTTTTTCTATCCAAAAACAGAGAATATCTTTCTATTTGTGTAAATTATTATTTTGTATGTGACTTTTAGAAGTGTTTTAAAATTTTCTTCACATTGAATTTGCACATTCTTGTTGCATTTATTTGTAAATATTTAGTCTTCTTTGTTACTATCCTAAATGGAAATGTAAATCATGCTCAGTTTATTGTTTTGTATATATGAAGACTATTGAATTTGTGTCAGTCAGTATATATGTTGTTTATACTTTTAATTTTTCTGTCACTCATCTCTGAAGTTTTCCAGGTATACTATGAAATCTTCTGAAAATAGAGATAGTTATACTTCTTTAGCCCATCATACGCCTCTAATTAATTTCTCTTTTCTATTTGCATTGGCTAATACCTCACTATAGTGTCAGATAGTGGTAGGAATAGAAGACATTCTTACTTTTTATTTTAGAGCAAATATTTTTATTATCTATCTCATTTAATGATTCTGGCTTTACGATTAAGGTATTTATGTTTAATTTATCATATTAAGAAAGTGTCCCTCAATGCCTTTTGAGTGTTTTATCATGAATTTTTCAGTCTTTTTTAGTATATGTGGAGATAAACATATGCATTATTTCCTTAGATTTATCATATGGTATATGATAATGCATTTTCTAATATTGAAATAACCTTGAATTCCTGGAATAAATCCCATGATCATGATGGGTCATGATGTGTTTCTTCCTATTGTGATATCAGATTATATTTGCTAATTTTTTTTTTAGAATTTTTTTGTCAATATTCATAATTAACATGGATTTACGGTTTTTCTTATTTGACCTGTCTATCTGGTTTAGGTTATCAGTATTACATTTGCTTCAGTAAGAGAATCAAGAAATTTTCCTTCCTTTACAACATTCTAAAATAATTTATAGAGGATCTGAGAGTAGTGTGTTTAAGTCTGTTATTATTGGGTCCCTATGTCTCCATGTATCTCCTGTAGTAGTTTTTTTTTTTTTCCAGAAAGATAGTCACTTTGCTATTTGATACATAAATATCATACTTATTATATATTCACTATAGATTCTGGCTTTTATTATTAAAAATGTTTTGTTTCATCATGTTTAGTGCTTTGGAACTTAAAAGGTAGACACTTTAAAATATCTCATTTGTATCACTTTCCTGGTTACCCTTGCCACTCCTATCCCAGATATCTATGATGACCATTCTGTGAGAGCAAGCAGTTCAATTAGAATCTTTTCTCATGGGGGTTAACCAGAAACTATGATATACCTGCTACATTCCATTTCCAATTCAAAAAAGAAAGAAGAAAAAGTGTGGCAGCTGGGTTGCCATCTCTAACTATTTGTACTGAATGTACATTGTGATTGTTTTGCTCTTAGAAAATTTGCCAACTAGTATTATATGGTGTGTGGAACAGGGTACAGCACAGAGAAATAGACCCACTCTCCATCTAACCTTTCTTTTCTTCTGAATTTGGGATTGTGTGCATGCATGTTTTTTTTTTTTTCTAAAAACATACATATGCACGCATGTGAAGAAAAAATACAATACCACTTTTTGCAACCTAATTTACATACTAAGTAGATGGATCAACCAACTTAGTGAGAAAATAAAATTTCTGGGTAAAGGAAGAAAAAAATAACTCAAATGAATCTGTTAGCTAGTAGGAAAGCAAGAAAAGCTCAGAGCAGAGACTGAATGAGAACCAGAACACAAAAGAGTAATTGGAGCCTGAACCTGGCTTTTGCCAGAAGGCATTTGTTTAACTAGGTGAACCTAACATTGAATTTACAGCTTTCTAAGTAACAGAACACAAATCCTAGGGTTTAGCTAAAATGAAGAGTCTAATAGTAGATTCCTTTTAAATAAGGTTGAGCTCTTTTGTCAGTAGAGCACCAAACAAAAATAACTTCCCACTTAATTTTTTTCAACCCCAGAAAGTAACTCTGGTGCTGAATTTAGGAGGAAAAAAATATTTTTGAGAATTAATAACCAAAATCAAGCCCTCGTGCAAATCACAGCTGGAATTCATAATATCTGGAAGACACAAAAAACTTGAAGTGGAAGATTTAGTACAAGTACCCCATGACTTATAGCACTCTTGTTGTCTTGAAGAAGCAAATGCAAATATTTTCTGGAGGAACCCTCCTTCACTTTGGCCTCAACACATTTTCCGCAGCTAAATTCCAAGGGAAATAAACAGCTAGCTCACAGTAAAAGAAAACACTACACACACAAGGAAACAAAGTTCCAACAGAAATGACTGAGAGCAGAATCAAATACAGAATATACAATGAGTATGTTTAATGTTTCAATAAGGAGAGGCTTGGGAAAATGAGTAGTTTAGGAAGAAAGGAAGTCACAGAAAAAGCCCATACAGCATGATTTCATTGATATATAAAGGTCAAAAGTAGATCAAACCAAACAATAGACTTTTTAGGAGTACAGTCACAGAGGTTTAAAAAATAACTATGAAGAAAAGCATAGAAATGATTAATACAATGCATGATGCTGGTTACTTTTGGGGAAAGAAGGAGATGTGATTAGACAAGGACATACTGATGACTTCTTAGGTGTGGTAATGTTTCTTAACCTGAGGGGTAGGTTAAGAAACATTGTTTTTCAATTGTACATTTAGAAACTTGAAATTGTATATTACACTCACCTATTGTATGTATGCTGAAGTTCATAATAAAAAGGAAATATATAACAAATTATGTATAAAATCTGTTGATTATTTTTTCTTAGACCATATTTATAAATTCCACTATCAGGGTATTTCAACTGCATGGCAAAGCCTGCTTTTCTTCTAGTGTGAGGCAATTTTCTTCTCTACACTTCACAGAAAAGGAATTAGTTTGGAGTTATTATTATTATTAATCTTCCTTTTTTTTTTTTTGCAGAAAGATGAGAAGATAAGGTAAATATATGGATCCTAGTTTTCCAGAGTTCTCAAAGTATAACAAGTCAGAAAAGAAATAAAACAAGGATCAAGAAGATGAAACACTTGAGGATATATTTTTTGTTTTATTCTCTTTTGGCCTTTTGTCTTTTTTGGAGTGTTACTATATCTATCTATTCTTATATTTAGAAAAATGTACATAAAATATCAGTTTTTATAATATTTAAAATTTCATAATCATTTTGATCATCATATTCCTGCTCATTTAAGTTTGTTTCTACCTACTATCCTTTAACCAAACCAATTATTACCCTTTTAACCAATAAAGTATATTAATAAATACTTTTGCATTGGTTATCTTGTATATCAAGTCATGTTTTGTTTTGTTTTGAGCCATTCAATACATGTGAACATTTAAAGGGGTTTAAAAATCACCTCCTACCCTGGCCAGTTTTCTGTCATCCTTCATTCTTCTACTTTCAGAAATATTTGTTAGGTATCAGTTTATTACTTTTTTTTAACATATAAAATCTGATGACTTTGGGGAGGGAACTAACCTTTGAGACCCTTTTGAGTTTGGTTTTTAAATTTTTATTTTAAAGATTGCTTACTATTCTAGTAATAAGTCCTAGACAATTTCTCACCAGTACAGGGGTAGGCCCAGAAATCTGCATTTTTAACCAATGCTTCAGGTAGTTCTGTGGCTAATTGTCCTAAGATCACAGGGAGACTACTAGAGGAATATAGGATGGCACGAAACTTCTTCATAATGTTAAAGGTGACATTTCTACTGCTAAGGTAGAATAGCCACCCAATAATGTCAGTATGTCAGTTGGATAGAGGAGGGATACTTTTGTTAGATTTTCATATATATATATATATATATGTAGATGGACACATACCTTTGAGTTTCACATGTGCTAGGCAAGTGCCTTACCACTGAGCTACACCCCCAGCCCCTTGTGTTAGTTTTTTGTCACTGTGATCAAAATACCTGGTGAGGACAAGTTAGAGGAGGAAAAGTTTATTTTATCTCACAGTTTCAGAGGTTCAGTTTATGGTAGGTGGATTCCATTGGTTTGGCCCAAAGTAAGGCAGAACATCATGGTGGAAGGACATGGAAGAGGAACACTGATCATATCTTGCAACCAGGAAGCAAGGAATAAGGGGAGGGGCCATAGGGAAGATAAATCCTTATAGGCCACACCCCTCAGTGACACACATTCTACCTGCCTATGGTTACCACCTGGTTAGTCCATCCAAACTAGGATGGCCTGATTAGGTTACAACTCTCATAATTAATAATTTTACCTCTGAATATTCCTGCATTAACACAGGAGCTTTTGAGTGATACCTCATATCTAAACCATAACAAAACTCTTAAAAAAATAGTTTACACTGTGGTTAAGAGCTTGGCACCTCACAGTCTCTGTTCACTTTCCTGAACTATTATTTTAAGACTTTGTATACCTCTTAAATTCACTAAGGTATTATATTTTGGTTCCCTATTATTTCTATTTTTTTCTCCTTTTCATGAGATTTGTCCTTTTATTTCTTTCCCATGCAAAGTATTTTTCATTTTATATGGTCACATTTATTGAGCTTTTACTCTTGGTGGAATTTGGTCACAGAATTTCTATTCCCTGGTTGTAAATGTGTTTACCTCTGGTTTTATTCCCCCCTACATTTTAATTCCTGGTTCATGTGTATTTTTTTATATTACATAGTATGATATGTAATAGAAAAAAATACACAGTGTGAAGTATGAATATAATTTTTACCTTTGTCCATATAACTCCCCATTAATTAAGAAGACCATGTTACTACTGACTTAAAGTGCCACTTTATATTATATTCCCATGTGCGCTTAAATTTCTTTGATTGACTTTCTTCTGTCTTCTAGCCCTTGTATTTTTTATGACCAGTACTATACCCTCAAAATTATAAAGAATGAGAGTTTCAAAGCTTTCCTCATGGGTTTTGCACATTTCTTGATGAAATTGTACTAAGGTATTCTATCTTTTTTACCTGGATAGTATAAATGTGGCATTCTCTTTGATTCTCTCTTCTAATTGATGATTGTTTGTTAGTTAGGTTTCCATTGCTATGACAAAATACCTGGGAAAAACAAAGTAGGAAAGATGTATTTTGGCTTATGGTTTCACAGGTTTCAGTCTATGGTTAGCTGTGGGGACAGGTGCATAATGTGGCAGGCCACTCCCCTTGTGCTAAGTGTGTGAGCGGCAGGTCACTTAACCCATGGGCACAGCCCTGGGCGTGAGGCCATGTGTTGCAGTCCCTGCGCTTGCTCCATGGCCTGCTCCTCGATTGGTCACTGCAAAGGCATCAGAAATAGCATTGGTGGCTGTCTGTAAGCTGCTTAGCTACTACCTGAGTATATGTACATGGTAACTGTGCAATAAAATCAGACCTGCTTCTTGCCTGGTCTCCAAAGGTCTTGATTAGTGACTCTGCAGTCACACTCTCTTCTACCCTGTTCCATGGACCTCCTTGCTGGATGAGAGAGAGCCCACACAGCCAGCTGTCTCCATTGCTCTGGATCTGAAGAGGCAACACATCAAGGCAGCAGGCCATGGTGGAGCAAATCTGCTTACCTCATGGCAACCAGGAAGCAGAGAGAGAAAGGTGCAGGGGACAGGATACAGTCCCCAAGGGCATAACTCTAAGGATCTACCCACTCCTTTGAACTAGATCTCACTTTCTATAATTTCCATCATTTCCCAACAGTCCATTCAGCCATGAATCTATTAATAGGTTAATCTATTGATGACACTAGAGCCTTCGTGATCCAATTACTCCAGGTCCATGCAGTTGGTTGATGCTGGTTTCCTGAAAGGGACATGATAAGATTGTGAAGTGTAAAGCCAGCTGTTGTACTGAAGTCAATCACTCCTGCCAGAATGAACCATTTCTGCATGGTGCAACCAGGAACAAAGCACATTATTCTTCCTCCTCCATACTTCCTGTTTGTTTCTAATACCCTCTTTTGGTAGAGACCAAAAAGAAACCCAGAAAAAGAAAATAATTATTTGCAAAGACCTGGCCTTAGCAAAACAGCAGATACGTGTGGATTTGAATCTGAGACGCAATAGCTTAATAGCACAAAAGTGATCTATGAATGTTCTCCTTAAATGTGTTAATGAGATGAACTATATTCACAGATCTGATGATACTGAAACCTTGTTTTCATGAAATGAATCTCACCTTTTAATATATGCCAGTTATGGTCTCAACTCTATGCCTGACTCCATGATTTACTATATGACATTGGAACTCTGAAAGTATTGTTTCTGCTTTACTAGCTGACTTTTTTTTTAACCTCTGCCAATGGGATCACTAGAAAGAGATGGAAAAAATGGAAAGAAGGAAAAGGAATTTAATCTCCTCCTTCCTGTGGCTTTGCTTTTCTGTCTGCATCATCTCAGTAATGGCATCTAATCCAACGGCAACAGTTCCAGTCATCAGTTGGAGATACTAGCATTAGTTGGGTTTTGTCCCTCATCAGAGGCTTCAGGCCTGCCTTTATAGGAAGACTCCTTTAGTTCCTGAGGTATCAGCAACATCCTTGCTTTACCTGCTCCTTAGAGATCTCAATCCTACCCTGCTGAGCAGTGCCCTCCCTTAGAGGTCTCCTTCAAAGTTTCTAGGTTCTAATAACCCAACTTCCCTTTGTTACACTTGTTGGTTCTTATGCATTGCTAGAAAAATGAAAAATTGTATAAGCCTATAGAAAAGATTTTGATAATATCCAACACAATTTTATATAATTGACTCTGAAATCACACTTTTTCTAAAGTATACCAAAAATCCCTTGCAAAAATGTTAAAATATCATTATGGCATGATTTGTAATTACAAACAAAAAAGAACAATCTAGTAACCATCAACTGGGGACAGTTTATTTGAAAGCCGATTGAAATGAAAATTTCCTATCAAGTTCATAACAGAAAACTGAGATAGATAACTAACTTTGGAAAAAATATTTCGAATCTACATCCTCTGTAGGGTATACTCTAAGGAAAAAAGGAACTTTAAAGAAAACTTAAAACTTTCACTCACTAGTCTTATTGCTATCGTAATATTAATGTTCTTATTTTGAAATATATCTGTGAACAGGATAAACTATTAAGATTTTAGAACCAAGATTATTGACACACGAGAGTAGGGGTATGATTGTAAATCAGTCTGTTTTCTGTTACTATAACAGAATACCTGAGAATAGGTAATTTCTAAAGGAAAAAGTTTTGTTTGGGCTCGTGATTCTGGAAGTCCAAGAGCATTATGCTAGCACCTACTTGGCTTATGAGAGGACCTTGAGCTGTTTCAACTCACCGCAGAAAATGGAAGGGAAGTGAGTATTTGCTGAAGAGGCAAATCAGGAGGGGCTGCCTTGTGGTAACTAATTTGGTCCTGAGCAAGAATTCATGTGAGAAAGACATTAACTCATTCATGAAAGCTCTATCCTTTAAACAAAACACCTCTTACTAGGTCCTGCCTCCCAACGCTGCTGCCTCAACATCATTTTTGTAGAGACAAACTATATTCAAAGCATATCCAAGGTTTTTTTAAACCTTTGCAATTTTGAATTTTAATTAAATATATCAATGTGAACTTATACTTTTTTTTTTTTGCCCCTTTTACTACTTTTTATATTTTCTAGCACTGTCCATTGAAAATGCCTATAAACAATGGCAACTCATTGGCAATGAGCACCTCTCCCAGATTGTGGTTTCTCAATATTATTACCCATTCAAAGAAACCAGGGCTCTTTCAAGTATGTCTGATTTTAAGTCTGGGACAGGATATAGAGAAGGGACATTTTGTTATGCCAGAAAGCAAGAAGATTTTCAAAAATTCATGCAATCACATCAAAAGAACAAATTGTAGTTTGAAGATACGTCCATTGGCTAAAGATAGGACACACAGCATTATTAGGAATAATAACCGTGATTGATTAAAACACTGGCTATGGGAAAAATCATAAATTGATATGATAAAAGGGGAAGAGAGGTAAAACACTTTGGATACTACTGTAGGTTAATAGGATGCTAACTGATTCTCTGAAAATTTATAATTTAAGAAAAAGTTATATAAATTTGTCTTTCTGG